ATATAATGTAGGGTAGACTCAAATACGTTTAAAATAAAGTATACGGAGGGTACCGCTTAAATTCCTGTCCCGATATTGAAGGATGGCTATAGAATTTCAATGCATTTCCTACATAAGTCTATCCTTGGTTTGTAGGAGGTTTGACTAAACAAGGATGAACCTATGTCTTGAAACCATTCGACTCGATTTTCTGTCCTCCTTCAATACTGGGACGTAAATCCTCTCATTGCTCTTATGGGGAGGCCGTCGTATATTTTATTTAAACGTATTTATTAATTTATTAAAAGTTCGCGCATACCACCTGTGACGTCACCAGGAAAATTATGAATAAATAAAAAAAAAGAAAGTTGACAGGAGATTTTTTTGTATTTTTTTAGGGTTATGGTTAAGAATTCTTTAATTGTTTCTGACTTTTTAATTCGTTTAATTTAATAATTACTAAAACCAGCAGTTCCAAAAATATATTTAAAAATAAAAGACAAAAATCTGAAATATTAATTATCTATTAACATGGATTTGGACGATAATAGGTAAAAATACTAAATTTATTTCTATATTCGGTATAAAATTGTTTATTAGGTTTTTAGTTTGCAATGTTTATGGGGACAGATATCAGGATATCTATGGAAAAGTAACCATAACAGGAATTGTTACATCATTTAAAAAATGTTGGGAAGTTGATTGTTTCCCATCGAAAAGTAGAAAATGCCAATGCAGATGAATGTATTGTAATTGTAATAGAAGTAATTCGAAGGGTGAAATTTATTATAATTAGTGGAAGCAATTCCAATGGTGAAGTTTATTATAATTAGTGACCTGTGCTTCTTTTTGTATGTAGATGTTTCAGGTTTTGAGAATAAATTGGTTGAACGAAACTCAAAATTTACAGGAAGTACTTGCATACCCAGAATATGCCCATCAAGGATTATAGCTCAAATTTCCTTTAATGGTATGCAATTATTCAATACAAATTAACTTTTTAAGTGACTGAAATATTAAATAGTTTACAATATGGTATATCACTGTAAAAATATATTACTTATAGGTACAATTAGGGCCCGATACATTTCAAAAAGTAGAATATTATTTTATATTAAATGAGGTATTGTACCAACAATCAATTTATATTAATACAGAGATTAAAAAACAACAGAATAAAAAAATAGTTCTTTTTGTATACTACAAAAATAAATTATAGAATACAACAGTATTTAAAGAATTAAATAAAAGAGTTATGCACCGGCCGAGATTCGAACTCCGGTCTCTCGCAAAAAAACAGGTTCATTACAACACCTTGACAATTTGAATTGGCGCGCGGAGCGTGCTGACCAATAGCGCCTGTTATCACCTGTGACGTAGCGACCAACCTGCGCAATATCATACCTTGTATTCTTGGTACCATGGGGTAGACTCAATAATTTGTTGTTTTATTTTACGTTGTCAATAAATGTTGGTAGTTATTAAAATTGTTATAAAAATATATAATTTTAATAAAAATATATAAGTTAAAATATGTTAATTATTTACATGCTACTTTTTTTTTGTTAGAGAAGAGGAGAAGCGATTTACCGCCGAAGTGTGGGGCTCGATGCGACAATGCCATATTAGCCGCATAATACCCACTAAACCTCTCTCCTATGCTAGGAGTGGATGTCGATCGCCGTGAGGCATACGGATGCATCCACTCCTACCTTTACTAGTCACTCCGTCGACGTTGAATCGCTCTAGTAGCTCGCTTTAACTTAATCTTTATTATCACAGAATCGATTATCACTGACAGGGGCCCATGCAGGACAATTTACATAGTTCCATTACGTCTTGCGGCCACTACCTCGTCGACTTCAATAAAAATGTCGAGACACAGCTGGTCAACAGCTTTCCAGCAGTGCTCATCACGCAGCATAACCGTGATGAGGCTTCCCTCAGTCAGAGGTCCTGTGATGGCTTCCGTCTCAGTTCTCAGTGCCGCATGTCGGTCGCATTCCAATAGTACGTGCCCGGCATCCTCTATATCGCCACAAGCTCCGCAGTGAGGAGAGGCAGCTTTTCCGATGCGATACCTGTAGGCAGCGAACGTACCATGTCCGCTCAGAAACTGCACCAAGCAGTAGGTCAGTCTCCCATGGTCTCTCCGTAGCTATGGTCTCAGGTCTGATATCCAGCGCCGAGTCCATCCGCCCCGATCGCTGCTTTGCCATCTTCTATTCCACAGCTCCAGGAATTTTTCTTTTTTTGCCTTGATGGCACTTTTTTCTAACCCGTAAGATTCGCTCCTATATCTAGCTTGTAGGTCTAGAGGCATTATCCCAGCGAGCACTTGTAGTGCTTCTGTGGACACTGTCCTGTTTGCCCTGCTTACATATAGGAGCGCCGTCCTCTGTGCCCGGTTTAGAGCGTCAACATTCTTTGCCAGCTTTAGAGCGGTTTCTGTCCATGTGGGTGCAGCACACATTTACATGCTACTGAAGCAGTTAAGTCAAACAGACGTATCGAAATTCTTTGACAAGTAGTAAATAAAAGCAAAAATGCAAGAAAAAATATACAATTAGTTAATTTTAAGTGAATTTCATAAATGATCGGTTTACTAGATGTATGTATTTTATATAGACACTTACTAGTGAAAAGTTATTCTATTATTTCCCTCGATTTTTGACGGAGATCTACCGCACGCTACGACGCTACACAACCAACTATTTTACAGTCTTTTTCGATAAATCTCAATAGTGCCACTGTTAATTTAAGTTCTGCCACAATTTCCTTCTAGATTTACTACCTTTATACATCTATCAGTCGTAGAATAACTAATAAATAAAATAAAATAAGTTCAGTAAAGACAGACAAATCCACAAAATTTAAAATCAAATTTCAATGTATCAAATGGATCATACATAGGGATCATCAAACAGAACTGTCTAGGAGCATTATGGTAGGAGCTGGTAGGAGCATTATGGCTTTAGAATTGCTGCATTTAATGACCACAATTATAAAAAAAGCAATCGCCACACTAAAGGCTGAGTGCAACCGTAAGTTTTTTGGCACTCCCAGTTGCCAAAAAACTTACGGTTTTTACCAAGGTCAAGACGAGCCAGTGCTCCTTTCAGTTCTTCATCAGTTTCATTTTTTCATCATTTTTCAGTCATTTTCTTGTGTTTAGACATACGATAACTAACAAGTGAAACTGAACGGAAACCTGAACTGACCGTCGAAAAGTACCTACACACTGCACTTAGCCTTTAGTGTGCCGATTGTTTTGTTTTTTTATAATTGTGGTCACTAAAATGCAGCAATTCTCTATTAGCATCCTCATTTATTCGTAATTAGTTTCACCAACCAGAAGGTTCAAAGTGAAGTTCTTCTTTATAGGCCAGTAAGCGAGGATAAAAATAGGGTAGGGTCACAACCTCCGAATTCTTGACACCCGCACCGATTGACGTGAAATTTTAACAGTGAATAGATAGATATATATGTATCTTTAATAGATGTATGTAAGAAAAAAAGTTATATAGCCACCCCTTCTCGGGGGGTGAAAAATAAATCACTCATTATAATTACAATTAAAAATCACTAAAGGGATGAATTCTAAGCAAAAAATGTTCTATAACATTTTTTCAGAAAATTAAAATTTTCCGAGTTCTTTAGGATTGAAAATGTTGATTTTTCATTTTCCAAACCAAACCAAATCAAAAACTCGCGGAGTTATGATAAAAATAAAATGGTCACCTCATTTTTTCGGAAAAAAATTAACAACAAAATCTATGACTAAAATCATAAAAATAAAAACTATCAATTTGTAGGAAATTACACAAGCTACAAATAAACCTCTATAGTTGAACAGTCTACTCTTTATTTTCACGAGATTTTTGGGTTTTAAGGGCTCAAAGAAGGTGGCCCTTACATGCAAGTCAAACTAAAAAAACGTAATATCTACGAAATAAAGAGATCTACAGAAAAATTGAAAGGGAGCAAAAATATTGCAAAAAACGTATCTTGCTTAGTTTTTGAGATATGTCAAAAAAAAAATTTTTTTTTCATTATTTTCAACTTTTTTCCAAATTTAGGCATTCTAAACCGCTCGAACTTGCAGAGTCAATTGTTAGTACCTAAATATAGCCAACTGTACGTGTATTACGCTTAATTTTTATTTTTATGATTTTAGTCATAAATTTTGTTGTTATTTTTTTCCGAAGTAATGAGGTGACTATATTATTTTTATCATAACTCCGAGAGTTTTTGAGCAACAAACTTTTTTAAAAAAGCATTTAAAAGGTCTTTTCACGCACTTTAAAAACGGTCATATTCATTTTCTTCGAAAAATGTATTCTTTCGCCATTATTTTACGGTAAAAGGTTGGAATTTAGTTTTCGAAAAATAAAAAATCACGTTTACAGAATCATAACTCGGCTATTATACACATACGGTAATCTCACGAAAAATCAACATTTTCAATCCTAAATAACTAGGAAAATATGAATTTTCTGAAAAAATGTTATACAACATTTTTTGCTTAGTATTCAGCCCTTTATTGTTTTTTGTAATTAAAAAGGGTGATTTATTTTTCACCCCCGAGAGGTACTCACCCCCAGAGTGTAAACACACATCGCTACTCTTTAAATTTTGTTACATATATCTCTATTCACTGTTAAAATTTCACGTCAATCGGTGCAGGTGTTCAGAATTCGAACCTAACCTAAACCCTCGCTTACTGGCCTATTAAATTTACATGAGACAGTAATATTCTCTTTATAGAAGCCAGTCTTTGCTCTATGATTGTCTAAATAGATCGTAATTTTTGAATGACGATCTATTTAGACTATTTTGACGACTGATCTGAAACTGAACGGAAAACTAAAGTGATCCTTTAAAAATACTCCTATACTTTAAAATACTCCTTCCTTAGTCTTTTTATTCAAAGAGTTAGACAGACTCATAACAGGCTTTAATATGGCTTTAATAATCTTATGACAAAATACGTAGAAACTTTCATGAGAACTGACATTCTCTGTCAGATTTATAAACTGACAGACAGTCCAAATGCCATTAACCAGGAAAGCTCAATTATAAGTATGAATTGTGTAAATATCTTCAGTCCAAGATACCTAGTATACAACACCAGCGTAGTTCTGTTTGTATTTGGCGTAATTCTTATTGGAATGGGCGTGCATTGCCAAATGATGCCCGAGAAGCCTGTGCCCATCGCTCAAGGCGCCATAGTTTTGGGGTTCATCGCCTGCCTCACGGCCGTCGTAGGAGCGTTAGCATCGAAGCTTGGACAAGTGTGGCTCATCATTCTGAACGGAATTATAATAATGTGCCTGTTTGGTGCCGCCGTGGCCTTGGGAGTTATAGGACTGACCACCACTTCGGAATATTCGATCAAAAGTTTCTTAAGAACCTTTTACGCGACGAAGGATAAAAGTAAATTCGAACCGTACGTACACAAGTTCCACAATTATTACGAGTGTTGTGGATATGATGGACCTTTCGGTAAGTGTTAGCTACCTGCTATTTTATATTTAAAAGAAAAGTTTAAGGAAGACGTTAGTAGTGAGCAAAACCGTTATTTTCAAATAGCATTTGAAACTAGTGCTTTTATTTATACAGGGTGCTACAAATTCGAGGTACGAGAATTGGTATCTTGAAAACCGTAATAGATACGAAGATGGTAAAATTGGGGCAAAGTTGCCGCCTTGGGATCTTCACCAAGATGCCATCAGAAAAGTTTTAAAAATTTCAAGGATTGTTTTTTGGAAAAAACTGATTTTTTTGAAAATCAATTTTATTTTTTCCTGTCGTTACTTTTTAGAAAATCAAAAAAACTAATTGCGCATTCTCTCTGATAGCCACTTTATTAAATCTACCTTATAGTATTTTTAGGTTTTCAAATTAGTCCGTTTTTTTCCAAAAAACTCAGCAATCCTTAACAATTTTAATAACTACTAACAAATAAAACAACAAATTTTACTATAAAATAAAACAACAAATTTGAGTCTACCCTACCTTATATTTTTACACGTTTTGAATGAAATTAAAATGGCACTGATAAAGGTTGATTCTCACTATACCTTCCGTATCAGCTCCATTCCGTTTCCCTTCAGTTTCCGTAAAATATTATATCAGGTAAATGAATAGGACAATGCACACTATCCGTTCCGTTTCCCTTCCGTTCCATATCCTTTCCTTCCATACATTTTTTTGGCGGACGGACTGAAGCGTGTCGGAAACGGCGTTGTCAAGTTCTTACATTTGTACCAGCTCTGTTAACATTTTGCTGATATTTTTTATTCTTTCACCTCTTAATTAAATCTATTACCTTTTTCAAAAAGGACAAATTTTTAAAATAAAACTTTCGTAATGGTATATATTGTACAATAAAAAGTGTGGAACTGATACGGAACGGAAGCTTACGTATAGCGTCAATAGCATAAAAAAATACGGAACGGATATGGAATGGAAACGGAAGGTATAGTGAGAATCAACCTTAAACCGGAATTTAAGTCTGCTATATTAGGTCCCCATCATCGCGCTCAACCTAAAGTTTTTGATATTCTCCTCCCAGGTGAAAAAATTAACATCGAATTAGATCAATTAAAAACGGCAATTACCCAACTTAAAAATAAAAGATCAGCCGGCACAGGAGGAATCCCCAATGAATTAATAAAATGTGGCACACCAAAACTTCACAATATTATTAAAACACTCTTTGAAAATTGTATCAATGGTCAACAAATACCACAGGAATGGAACGAAGGATGGATAACTCCAATACATAAAAAAGACGCAATTAACATATGTGAGAATTATAGAGGTATTTCTGTTAACTGTTCATTGTATAGACTCTATGGCAAAATACTTAGCACATTAATAACAAATGACTATGATTTGTACCAGACAGAAGAGCAGTCGGGTTTCAGAGCCGGTCGCTCAACGGTAGATAATATTTTCTGCATAACACAACTGAGTGAGAAAGTGTTAGCTATAGGTGGAGAGATACACATGATTTTTGTAGACCTAACCAAAGCGTATGATTCTATCCCAATAAAACAACTTTTTCACGTACTCGACCGGTCACCAATAAATATTACCCTAATAAAAGCAATAAAGGAAATCTACAAGAACCCGCTAGCACGAGTTAAAATTGGAGCCGAACTCACAACATCATTTAATATAAGTAAGGGCCTTCGACAAGGATGTGGTCTATTTCCAATTTTATTCAATATTTATTTAGATGCAGCATTGTAACAATGGAAACGAAAATGTAGTGGAATGGGCATACCACTCGAAAATAAAACAATATATACCATTCACTACGCCGACGATCAAGTAATACTGGCCCGAGATGTAGATGACATTGAGTACATGTTTAGAAAATTAAATGAGGAGTAGGTATGATAGATGGGGTTTACAAATAAATTTTAAAAAGACAGAATATCTATGCGTGGGCAACAAAGGACAAGACCTAGAAATGGAAAACGGCAACAAAATAAAATCATGTACAGAATTCACATATTATCTAGGTACTAACATACATAATAATGGAAAAAGCGACAATACCATCAATAATAGAATCAACAAAGCCAGAAACATTACAGGGGCACTAAATTCTATTCTTTGGCAAAAAAATATAAATACCACAACAAAAACCCGCATATATTATATACTTTTAGCTATAGTTAAGAGCACACTTACTTATGGCGCTGAAGTATGGCAGATGAGCAAGTCCATGGAAGGAAAGCTTTTAGCAACTGAAATGGACTTCCTCAGAAGATCGGCAAGAAAATCAAAATTGGAAAAAGTGCGAAATGAAGAAATAAGAAGAATAACGAAGAAAGAGATAACTATCATAGAAGAAATCCAAAAAAAATAATTAATCTGGTATGGGCATGTAAACAGAATGGGAGAAGAAAGGCTACCAAAGAATATAATGAAATGGATCCCAAATGGAAAAAGAAAACGAGGAAGACCCCGAGAGACATGGTTAAAGGGGGTAACAAAGGCAATGTCATTACGCAATTTACAAGCCGATGACTGGATGGACAGAAGGCAATGGCGGCAAGGAACCGGAAGGCGGATCACGCTGTAGAACCTGACTTATATATATATATATATATATTATTTCATGTTAAATGTATGTCTCTCTTCTCTCTTATGTCTTCTGTCTCTCTTAATAATAAATAATTCTGCCTTGTTCTTCAGATTACAAGATTACTTATTTATTTTCAAATTATTTTATTTTTTAGGTAAAGATGTTCTCAGGGAAGATGAAGTTTTTCTTGAAAAAGGTGAGTAACTTTAAGCTGGCCATACCGTGGAATCGTCAACACGCAAATTGTAGAAAGCGCGTTGACGCGTGTCTTTGCGCGACCGATCCAAACTACTTATTTTCAAGGGAGCTACAGGTTGGTTCGCGCGTTTACGTCCATACATTTGCGATATGCAAACAGATCCCATCTGTGGTCGGGATTTTTCGACTTTCCTTGAAGAGTTTCCCTTGAAAATAAGAAGAGATACGAAAAAATAACGCTTTATTGTGCAAAAAGTCAAAACAGCTTCAACGACAAAGCATTTACAAAACATACAAAAGCACAAAAAATATACAAATAATAAAAAAATGTACAATACAAATGATACAATTCAAAAAAATGTAAGTCATTAAAATTACAAATCTATACTAATATATAAAATCCTTAAGTGACTGACATACTGATTAATCACGATCCTGCTCAAACCACTCAACGTAAGAAGCTCAATTTTGGCATACAGGTTGATTCTAGGGTGTAGAAGTTCGATAAGAAGGGATTTTTCGAAATTCCAGTTCCAAGAGGGTGAAACCACCCCTCAAATATTACAATATTTTTTATTTAAAAAACGGTCAAGTTTCCGAAAAAACGCTTAAACACGTATATTTTATTTTGTTTTTTTTTTTTCATATTTTAAGATTTTTTAAAAATATATACAGGGTGTTTCGAAAAATCTGGTCATTTATTAATCACGATCCTGCTTAAAGCGCTTGACGTAAAAAGCTGATTTTTGGAAAACAGATTGATTTTGGGGTGTAGAGGTTCAATAAGAAGGAAATTTTTCGAAACTCGAATTCTAAGGGGGTGAAACTATTCCTCAAATATTAAAATATTTTTTATTTAAAAACCGGTGAGTTTTTCGGAAGAACTCTTAAACACGTATATTTTATTTTGTTGTTTTACATATTTTAAGATTTTTATAAATTTATACAGGGTGTTTCATAAAATATGACCACTGAGTAATCACAATTCTGCTTAAACTGCTTGACGTTTAAAGCTGATTTTTGGCAAACGGATTGACTGTGGGGTATAGAGGTTCGATAAGGAGGGGTTTCTCGAATCTCAAGTTCCAAGAGGGTGCAAAACGCCCCTCAAATATTACAATATTTGTTATTTAAAAAACGGTTAGTCTTTCGGGAAAACGCTTGGACAAGCATAATTTATTTGGTTTTTTTACATATTTTGAATTTTTTTTATCATACAGGGTTTTTCAAAAAGTTAGATAATTTCTTAACCACGATTCTGCTTAAACTGCTTGACGTAAAAAGCTTATTTTTGGCAAATGGATTTTTCGAAAGTCAAATTCCAACGAGATGAAACTACCCCTCAAATATTACCAAGTTATACAGGGTGTCCCAGAAATAAGTGCAAATATTTTAAGGGGTGGTAGTTCTCGATAAAAGAAACATATTTTCGCTTTATCGTTTTTCAAATAAGTCCAAAATAAAAAAGTTATTTTACTTTGAAAATTTCCAAAAAAAAAATATTTTTTGCTAAACTTTTGAGAACCACTGGATCTTTTCTGGATTTTCTTTCTTGTAAATTTAATATAATACATATGTTGCCATATTATCAAGAAATTATGTTTTTTAACTAAAAACTAAAAAAAAATCCAAAAAAAAATTCAAAAAATTTCGAATTATCAAAATTTTTTTTTCGCGAAAAAAACCTCATAAACGTGTTTCTGGGGTTGAACTATACTACCAGTTAAAATATTTGCACTTATTTCTGGGACACCCTGTATAATAATATCGCCATATTGTTTTTTCTCATGCTGACATAAATGTGAGAATATTTTATCCAGTTTGTATGTTAATGGAAATTCTTGCTTTATTTTATCATCACCATTACAAATGATTAATTCGACGCGAACGAAGTCGCTGGTATAGTCTATAAAATGAATAACTTTGAATTTTGACCGTTATTTTTGACCAACATGGCAAATATAAAATCTCTCTATCCAAAAAGTTACTGATATGCTTTAAAATGAGTGTCTGAACGAATCAGATAGGTAACTCTTTTTTACTTTCATGAAATAGAAAAGGAAAATAATAAAACAAGTGACAGTTCTTCCTCCTCTTGCAAAAATCGACGCGAAATGTCATAATTGACAAAAGTAAAATGTCATCAGCTTTTGACATTTCTAAATATCAGACCAATGCCGTCTCTAATAGAACAGCCTCGGAGCGAGATTTATGACGTCACGCTAGTTAGATACCACGGATTAATAAATATGTTGTAGAATACATGGAAAACATAATTATTCCTCGTATTTTTGGTTTGTATTTTAAAAATGATATAGTTTACATGAAATATACATAATATACAGTTAATAAATACAATATATGTACCTATTTATAGTAATAAATACTTTGGCAAATAAACTATGAACCATACAAATGCAGCAAATGTTTTACAATATACAAATAATGAATAGATACATAAGATAATGGGTAAAATGTAAAATATATTTTAAATTTTGGGGTTTGAAAATCGATCTAATTTAACAAAAAACATTCAATATCTACTAATAGTGATGTATTATTATTTGCATTCACAAAATTTATATGTATATTTTGAAAGCATCAATGTTCGAAAAATTATATTTGCAAATAATACAATATCATAGAAAAAAAGGCGTCAGCGATGGCTATGAAATAAAGATCGCTATCATTTTACATGTAAAATTATTCTAAAATTTTTGAGTTTCTTGGGATTTAGGTTCGAGAAAAACGCTGATTAAGTTTTCATTATTTTTTTGGTTTAAAAAAAACGTTATAGCTAACGTTTATAGCCTTCATCAGTGTTGTGTCATGCGAAAAAAATAGTGTCGAATATAATCCAAAAAATTACATATACGAGGAATAATTATGTTTTCCGTGTATTCTACAGCATATTTATTAATCCGTAGTATCTAACTAGCATGACGTCATAAATCTCGCTCCGTGGTTGTTCTATTAGAGACGGTATTGCATCAGCACGGCTACAAGTTGCTAACTTAATAAAATCAACACTAGAAAAGCCCGCGAGAACTGTCAAATTCAACGTTATTCGTTTCACAGACTATACACGCTAGTAGAACATACATGGACAATTGTAGAATACAAAAAAAAGCCTATCAATAAACTTTTACAATAGGAAAATTGTAAATGGATATAATTTTAAGACTTATAAAATATTAAATACTCGACCTTTGACCAGTGTCTGAGATGATTAAAATTTTAAAATTTAAAATTGTTGATGATTAAACACCAATAAAAAAGTCGTTTATCGTTTCTAATTGATTTAGTACGTGAGCACAAGCTGCTCTAGAAGTAATTCTGAAATTGCAATCAATCGTGAAGGATCTGGCCCCTAAGATTTGGTTAGGTTAGATTAAATTTAGTTAGAAAAATGAAGCAGTGTCTGCTGGCGGAAGGAATGGATATGTTACTAGTGATTTTGTTTTGTGAGGACAATTGCTTGTAGGCCTGAAGGGTTTTTGCTCAAAGTGTTCCTTTGAAAAACTACTTTTCCTATTTTGCAGAGCTGATAGTGTGGTATACGAAAAATCTATGAGGCAGAAACCTGTCGTTGGAAGTGAAGAAAATGAATTTTCCTTAATTGGTTATTTTATAGAAAATCCGATATACTTACAAGTCATCGTAATATAAATCAAAGAACTACTTCTTTATTTTTCTTGGTAAAATAATAAATACTTACTTATTCACCTTATTGTAGGTAAATTAAGTCCGGTTGTACAGCGTGATCCGCCTTCCGGTTCCTTGCCGCCATTGCCTTCTGTCCATCCAGTCATCGGCTTGTAAATTAAGCAATGACATTGCCTTTGTTACCCCCTTTAATCATGTCTCTCGGGGTCTTCCTCGTTTTCTCTTTCCAGTCGGGATCCATTTCATTATATTCTTTGGTAGCCTTTCCTCTCCCATTCTATTTTCATGCCCATACCAGATTAATTGTTTTTTTTTGGATTTCTTCTATGATGGTTATCTCTTTCTTCGTTATTCTTCTTATTTCTTCATTTTGCACTCTTTCCAATTTAGATTTTCTTGCCGATCTTCTGAGGAAGTCCATTTCACTTGCTAAAAGCTTTCCTTCCATGGACTTGCTCATCTGCCATACTTCAGCGTCATAAGTAAGTGTGCTCCTAACTATAGTGTCATATATGCGGGTTTTTGTTGTGGTATTTATATTTTTTTTGCCAAAGAATAGAATTTAGTGCCCCTGTAATGTTTCTGGCTTTGTTGATTCTATTATTGATGGTATTGTCGCTTTTTCCATTATTTTGTATGTTAGTACCTAGGTATGTGAATTCAGTACATGATTTTATTTTGTTTCCGTTTTCCATTTCTAGGTCTTGTCCTTTGTTGCCCACGCATAGATATTTTGTCTTTTTAAAATTTATTTGTAGACCCCATCTATCATACTCCTCATTTAATTTTCTAAACATGTACTCAATGTCATCTACATCTCGGGCCAGTATTACTTGATCGTCGGCGTAGTGAATGGTATATATTGTTTTATTTTCGGGTGGTATGCCCATTCCACTACATTTTCGTCTCCATTGTTCCAATGCTGCATCCAAGTAAATATTGAATAAAATCGGAGATAGACCACATCCTTGTCGGAGGCCCTTACTTATATTAAATGATGTTGTGAGTTCGGCTCCAATTTTAACTCGTGCTAGCGGGTTCTTGTAGATTTCCTTTATTGCTTTTATTAGGGTAATATTTATTGGTGACCGGTCGAGTACGTGAAAAAGTTGTTTTATTGGGATAGAGTCATACGCTTTGGTTAGGTCTACAAAAATCATGTGTATCTCTTCACCTATAGCTAACACTTTCTCACTTAGTTGTGTTATGCAGAAAATATTATCTACCGTTAAGCGACCGGCTCTGAAACCCGACTGCTCTTCTGTCTGGTACAACTCATAGTCATTTGTTATTAAATGTGCTAAGTATTTTGCCATAGAGTCTATACAATGAACAGTTAACAGAAATACCTCTATAATTCTCACATATGTTAATTGCGCCCTTTTTATGTATTGGAGTTATCCACCCTTCGTTCCATTCCTGTGGTATTTGTTGACCATTGATACAATTTTCAAAGAGTGTTTTAATAATATTGTGAAGTTTTGGTGTGCCAGATTTTATTAATTCATTGGGGATTACTCCTGGGCCTGCTGATCTTTTATTTTTAAGTTGGGTAATTGCCGTTTTTAATTGATCTAATTCGATGTTAATTTTTTCTCCTTCTAAATTAAATTTCTGGTTCTTCTGGTTGTAATTTATATTCATCTCTGTGTTCATTTAACATTTTCTCGAAATATTCCTTCCAACTATCTTTCGCAATTACATTAAGTTTTAGCTTGGTCTTCTTATTATTTCGAATGGAATTTATGAATTTCCACGATTCTGATGTTCTTCTGCCTCCTATGTAGCTTTCTAACTCTTGGCATCGTTTTTCCCATTGGTTATTCTTCTCTTCCAAAATTATCTTCTTAAATTTTGCTCTTTGGTGTTTATAAGCTATGTAATCCGCATCTTGTTTAGTTTGTAGCCATTTGAAGTACAATTTTTGTTTTTGGTTTTTCTGCTCCTGTAAGTTATTATTCCACCAAAAATTTTTGTTGTTGTTGCATGCTGTTTGTTCTCCTAATGCCTCCATAGCAGCTGCATTTATTGCCGATTTTATGTATTCATATATCATTTCTGTTGTTTCATTTTCAAAATCATCTCTCAATTTTTGATCTAGTCTTTGTTGATATAATCTCTTAGGTGCTTTCATCGTATAGACTGTTCAGATTATATTTAATTGTATTGGTCGAGCTACTTTTTGTTGCTTCATTAATATTTGTTTATATATATATATGCGTATATATATATATATATATATATATATATATATATATATATATATATATATATATATATATATATATATATATATATATATATATATATATATATATATATATATATATATATATATATATATATATATATATATATATATTTATGTAAAATAAATATTTAAAATAGACCAGCAATTTTTGATACCCCTGTATACATTTAAAGAAGCAATAATTTTTTTTAGCAAAGTTTATTTCTCTGGCTTCAAAATCCGCACAAGAATTAACTCTGAAAAGTAATGTACAGGGTGTTGACAAACTTTTTTATTACAGCATACATATTTAAATATCTCAAAAATCAAAGCATTTAAACATATTAAAGCCTTATAATAAATACCTTATTTTATGTCCAAGAATCGAAAAATGAAATAAAATACCGAGTGTACCATAAGAAAAAATATAACTTTGATATGGATCTTAGTTCTGACACACCCTGTCCATTTGAGTATAATTTTAAATTATGCACATTGCCTCTCTACATATATCCATAAAAGTATTTGTTGCTACATCTTTCCGTTTTCGTATAATCAACCGAGGCGAATGAGGTGCGCCACCCTGTATATATAGTGTATATATAGTATTACATACCCCCTTAATTTTAGAATATCAGTCATCTCATTAAAATGATCGCTTTTAGTTAGTTATACCCTGTATACTACTAAAATAATAAAGTGATATAAATAGACAATATTACTTACCAGGCTGACTTTCGAATTTTTTGTATCGTTTGTAAACTCACCGGCAAAAAAACCGGCCACTAAAAACTAGTCTCAATTTAAAAGTTGGATTTCTCGCGAACCACTCACTAGATTTTGATATATTTTTTTTAAATTGTAAACTAATTCCTTCTTAACGGATGCTACGTCAGAAATTTTTATTCCGAATTTATTTTGAGCATATACAGGGCACAACAATATGACGAAGTTTTTTGCCTGAACTTTGTAACACCCTGTAGGGTGCAGCAGCTATAGTATCTATTGTTAAATCAAATCACATTGTAGCCTCATCTTTTGTGAGCATTTTATTTTTTTAATCACGACATTATCTCTGTTTGTATTGGAGATACACTGCTTTAAAACTAACGTCTCGGAAAAATGCTTCGCAGGCAGAAAGTTTTATGTGTAGATAGATAATCAAGGCAACGCCGACGCGACATAGGCTATTATCTGTGACGGATGTTGCTCGTAATGTGACTTTAATTGAGGATGGCCAAAGTCAACGTTGTGTCCGATACCCGGGGTATACCTCAACAACAATCCAGGATGCCTGGAATCGGTATATGGAAACGGGAAATCTCACCAGGCGAGTGGGTTCCAGAAGAAAACGGAAGACAAATGCAATTGATGACCACTTTATTGTCCTGAATACTTTACGAAATCGTAGAATTACAGCGTTTCAGAATCAACATCTGCTAGAAGCCGTGCGTAGAACTCAAGTCAGTGAGAGAACAATCCGACGAAGACTAAAATAAAACAGCTTGTGTGCAAGGAGGCCTGCCACAGGACCCCAGCTACTTTCAAGACATCGTCGAGCACGTTTTCAGTTTGCGCGTTTACATGTGAATTGGGATATTGAGCAATGGACTAAAGTCCTTTTCACGGATAAATCGCGGTTTTGCCTGCGAAGCATTTTTCCGAGACGTTCGTTTTAAAGCAGCGTATCTCCACTACAAATAGAGATAATGTCGTGATGAAAAAAAAAACAACAGCTACTATAGCTGCTGCACGCTACAGGGTGTTACAAAGTTCGGGCAAAAAACTTCGTCTTATTGTTGTGCCCTGTATATGCTCAAAATAAATTCGGATTAAAAATTTCTGATGTAGCATCCGTTAAGAAGGAATTCATTTACAATTTTAAAAACCAAAACCAAACCAATCCAACTCTGAAATTGGGACTAGTTTTTAGTGGCCGTTTTTTTTGCCGGTAAGTGTAGTTTATAAGATCGTTATATCGTTAAGTTGTCCAGCCTGTTTAGAAACTAGAAAACTAGCAATGTCATTTTATAAAATAATTGTAGGTAACAAAAAATTAGAAGCTCAGAAAGTTACTGTAATAATACCAGAATGCTGCAAGGAAGCAGTTCCAGTCTGCACCATACTAGATGCCTATGCACACTCTTGTTTTAATAAAATGACAAATAAACAAAGAGATTGGTCGAAAATTTTAGGAGTTATACTAATTTTTACAGCTTTTAATATTGGCATTGTACTATATACTTATGTCCATCGAATAAGTATCTCTTAAAAATAAAAATATTAACATAAAGCGTATTTGCGTATTTATTAGACAACTGAGGAGAGTCAAAACTATTTTCAATATAATACATATCGATATAATAAAAATGAAGGGTCCAGGGAAAAACTTGATAAGCGCCAATTTTTTAATTTTAGGATTTTACAGTATTATAGTAGGTCTAACTGGGATAAAAATAGGGTATTACCTCCGAATTCTTGACACCCGCACCGATTGACGTGAAATTTTAACAGTGAATAGAGCTATACCGGGTGTTGCATCGTCGGACGGGACATAGGAAATCCCCTGTAAATTTTAATGGGGTCAATTATTGGCTTCCCTAATAATTTTAGAGAATAATTCTATTTAGGTTTATTGAAGAGCACTAAAACCCACATTCAAAAGAATAACTTTAGATATTTTTGATTAGCTCGTTTAAGAGTTATCGCCTATTTCTTTTTAAATATTTCTCCTTTCTTATGGCCCTGTATTTACTTATGAGCACCACTCAAGGTAAAAGATAACTGTCAAATGAAGTTGTCATTTCAGAAATTTACCTATTTAGTGCTTTATTATTATTGAAAACTCATTCCTACATCGGAAATCTTAAAGATGTATTTATAAATACAAAATAATATGAATTAAAGTAAAATAAAGTAATCAATTACAAGGTTAATTATAGTATTATTACAATATTCAATAACTTATTAATTTAGTTACTATTAAATTGTTAGAACTTAAGGATTTAAGAAGATGTTCAAATATTCCTCCATCGACTGCTAGACAATAACCCAAGCGATCATAAAATTCTCTTCGCTAGTTGGTAAACTGAAATTCTATTGCATTCGGCAGAAATAGCATTTTTTAATCATTTGGCGAAATATCAGGAGATCTTACTGGCCAATTTACTGTATGATTTAGGCCAATAACGTTTCCGTTAAAACTATTGTCTAAATATTCCCGAACAGCCAGGGTACTATGTGCCGGGCAGCCATCCATTTGGTACCAAACTTCCTGATTTTCCCTAGCGGCATCATGTAAAGCAGGTAAAATATGATTTTCGAGTAGTTCCAAATAATATTCTGCATTTAAATTTCGCGTAAGAAATAATGGCCCGATAATATTATGTCCAAATATCCCTGCCCAAACATTTACTTTCTGTGGATATTGCGTCCTTGTTTCGACAAACCTGTGTTGGTTTTCTTTGTTCAAATATCGATAATTTTGAACATTGGGTTCATTATTTAAGGTAAACGTGCATTCGTCAGTGAAACATATGTTTTTTAAAAATTCCCTATCCGTGTTTGTTCTTTCCATCATATTAAAACAAAACGCCTGCCGCCATATTTCGTCCCCATCTCGTAGCTCTTGGTGCTTTTCATATTTGAAAGAATAGTATTTATGTCGTTCCAAAATTCGAAACACTGTAGTGTGATCTATTCCTATTGCATCCTCAAGTTTCCTTGTGCTGATCTTTCCATCGTTCTCTTCTACGCACAATAAAACTTCCAAGTCGGTATCATTGCTTGCATCTTCTCTTTGTTCCTGCCTTGCTTCACATCTGCAGTTATTTATTAGGGTACCTTTGGTCTCAAATCTCTGGATATTCCTTGCGATTGTAGATTTTCCAGGTATCGGTCTATTCGGATACAGAGCTGCAAACATGTCCGACACCTTTTGATAACTATTTCCTTGATAATACCATTTAATCATCAATACTTTTTCTTCGGTAGTGTAATTCATGGCTAATATTTTCGATGTAGGTATGAGTTTTTAATAATAATAATAAAGCATTAAATAGATAAATTTCTGAAATGACAACTTCATTTGACAGTTATCTTTTACCTTGACTGGTGCTCATAAGTAAATAGAGGGCCATAAGAAAAAAGAAATATTTAAAAAGAAATCGGGCGATAACTCGTAAACGGGCTAATCAAAAATATCTAAAGTTATTCTTTTGAATGTGGGTTTTAGTGCTCTTCGATAAACTTAAATAGAATTATTCTCTAAAATAATTAGGGAAGTCAATAATTGACCCCATTAAAATTTACATGGAATTTCCTATGTCCCGCTCGACGATGCAACACCCGGTATGTAAGAAACAAAAGTTACATAGTAGCGATGTGTGCTTTCACCCTGGGGGTAAGTGCCACCTCTTCTCGGGGGTGAGAAATAAATCACCCACTTTAATTACAAAAATCAATAAAGGGATGAATTCTAAGCAAAAAATGTTTGTGCATATAACATTTTTTCAGAAAATTAATATTTTCCGAGTTATTTAAGATTGAAAATGTTGATTTTTCATCTAAAAACTGCATGTTTTTCTGCAATTTTTTATAAATAACTCGAAAACCTTGCGTTTTATCGCAAAACCCATATAAAGCAAAAATGAAGCTTTTGGAGTTTTTTTCTCAAAAAAATAATGCAGTTTATGTAGAATTCTATAAGAAACACAAAAATGGTAAATGAAATAGGGGTTGCTATTTAAAATTTTAGGGGTAGGTGCCCTGGGGGTCAAGGGGTTCAAAATAACACGACAACAAATGCCTCAAAAATTGTCCTCCTTGATATGTAAATTGACGTGTTTCGCCAAATCTTCATACTATCATCGTTAGAGGCAATATTAAATACTATTCGTTTTCAAATTGTCACCTTGTATAAAATGACAGCGATTTTCATTTCATAGCCATCGCTGACACCGTTTTTTTTTCGATCATACGGTATAATAGAAAAAATATGAGAAGTGAAAAAGTAAAAAGTAGTTTCCAAAAATGTAATTATATACAGGGTGTTCCATTTAAAATAACAAAAGTGCTACCACTCTTTAAATGATCCGATAACACTGTTACGCTGATATTTTTTTTCAATAACAATCCTCTGCCGGAAACACTACGACCTGTGAGGCCTATTCTGTTTGTCTCCTTTCTATAACTGCACCTATTCTCCTATCCCTGTACTCTGCATTAACTTATGCAGGTCCTTGATAGCATGGGAGCATAGCAAACTACACGAGGTTAATAATCTTGTTTAAATAGTTAGTTAAAATAAATTTTCTCACCTATGAAGTATTATTCTGCGACGCGTTATCCATTTTTTAATGGTACCAAACCTATTAGGTTGCACCCTATTAGGTTTGGTACGCGAAAATATTTGAAAAGTTTTTAAATACCTATTGTCGACCTTGCCTCTTATCATTAAATATTGCGAAAATTTTTGACTCCTTAATATTTATTTGTCTTTTTTCAGTTTCATTTTGTCTTGGAAAAGGAGTTTCTTTAGAAATAGGATTCATTTTAAAGAAAACACTAAAATTCAACTCCTCTTAGGTACTTTAAAATAAATAAAATAAATCTTACCGGCGATGAAAAGCCTAACATGAGCCTAACGTTCAAATTTCAACAATATTTGTTGCGTTGAATTTTAAAAACTGCCAAAATTCCATCTTACCTGTGTATAATCGAGTTAAAAATACTGTATCTAATAGCCATCAAATAATTTAAATTTATAAACACAAAAATCTAAATAATTCTCGCCCTAAATGTCTAAATAAAAGCAAAAATATACGCTAATTAATTCACCCACGCTTTTTTCACCACATCCGGCCAGCCAGCGGCACTTTAACTTCCTAAGTCATGCATACGAAATCGAGACTTTGTCGCATTTTTTAATAGTCAGATGATTTCAACTACCAATGAAAACACACCCAAGCGCCAAATATCGCGCCTCAACCACGCTTCAACCCTGCGATCGAGAATGCTTACCCCGCGTCGGCCGTCGCGTCACCGGCGTCCATGATCTTAAATCGTCGCTGCCTACCTATTAAGGTAGGCAATTCGAACTTTATTTTCTGACGTTTCTTTTTCAGATTGGCAGAACCTACACATAGCTTCGTCTGTCAATCCCATCAGCTTTAGATGCCTATTTCGCTTACAATGCCCTGTTAGTAGACCTACTACAGCTTTGACTGTCTTTCTGTCCTTGCTTATCAAGTCTACCGTGAATTTCGGCGAATGATCTACAATGAACCTTTTCGCCTGTCTCTGCCCTGGTGAGTTTCTCCACCATTCTAGAGATTTGTTGGCCACCCATCGTTCCGTGGCCATTCTCGTGACCGCCTTTGCAACGCCGCAGAAGGGTTCTGGGCCTATGAATGGCATTGATGAGCCTTGCTTGGCCCTTTCATCTGCCTTTTCGTTACCCTTGTGACCCTCGTGCCCTGGAACCCAGGCCAACGTAACAGTGCTACGTTCGCCCAAAGTATTCAGAGCACGCACACAGTCCCACACTAGTCTAGAATTGACCTCCGCGGAGCCGAGTGCCTGTAGCGCCGCTTGGCTGTCTGTGAAGATGGCCACAGAACGATTTGTTCTTTGTTGCCTTATTATTTCTTCTACACAATAGTGGATTGCCGTTATTTCTGCCTGGAAAATTGTGACATCCTTAGATAGGCTTACGTGGAAGGATCTCCTTTGTTTCGACCCTACTATCCCAGCTCCTACGCCTTCTGCCGTTTTTGAGCCGTCTGTATACCAGGTTGCCTCAGCTTGAATGGGTACACCTTTACTCCAGTCTTCCCTTCCTGGTGTGGTTATATTAAATTTGTTGTTGAAGCTATACCTAGTAGCTGTTGCATCAATTGGTAATCCCAATATTTTGTCTGCTTTTAGCTCTTCGATTAGCTTCTGGTTAGCAGCACTATGCATTTGACTTATGTGCTGCTGACCGTGAATTAACCTGTGCATGACAGATCTGGTTTCGCCTTGTATGAAAATATGTAGTGGTGATAAGTTCTGTGTGCCTTTGTCGAGTAGCGTTCTTTGTGGCTGGGTTTACGCGGCTTATGTTGTACCTGGACCTGGATGTATTTATAAAAGATATATTTTTTAGTTTTATTATGTTGAATGTATTATACAATTGTATTAAGTTATACTGGGATTAAATAAAAAACTAGGTACAAAAAAATAAACCGTTCCTTCATTTTAAAGGTGAAGCGCGGCCTCAAAGGCCTACCCTGACGAGCCGCCACT